AAGGAAACGAAAAGAGAGAAAAGGGAGAGAGAAAGAGAGAGAGAGAGAGAGAGAGAGAGAGAGAGAGAGAGAGAGAGAGAGAGAGAGTCATCTCGCGTGAAACACCCACACAACCGAGCCGAGCCGAGCCGAGACGAGACACGGTTACTCGACTTTATTATCTCGAGTGGCTTTCAGGCGGTTCAAGTGGCCCTCTTCTTCCCCTGGCTGGGAGATTGACGACAATTAGAATAGGACAGCGAAGGGAAACTGGTGGCGTGGTGGCTCTGTGCTGGGGGAAAATGTGCTTGCGAAAAAAAATAGCCGGCGCGTAAAGGGTCGATGTCCGATACGCGGTAAGACTGTCCCGAAGTCCTGACGCGGCTAAACTCGCTGACCCCGTCGTTGACGGATTTAACGAGGAGAGATACCAACGACGTCGTGCCGTTCAACGCTGGTCTCCCTTGCCCGAAGAACGGATACGTGTAAATAAGATGGTATACGGTGTTACCTTTTCCCAAAACAACGTCCAGCAGCAGCAAAAAGCTTTCCAAGATTCAAACTGGTGAGGCAAGGGTACCCCCTTCGAGCAAGAAGACCGATTCTTTTGCTCGAAAAAGCTCGTTCGACTCCTCTGGAAGGGAAATTCCCTGCCGGGATATTTAGTTAAATCCGGTCGCGCGAATGTGCTCGGTACACCGGGGTCCTGTTTAAAAACGAGTTCTACCCACACGACAAAGTGAACCGTGTCACAGTCGGCTCTCGCCACGGCGAGGCTGCGAGAGTCCGAGGCTGCGCTTTGTGTAACGAAAACGCCGATTGCTAATAATAAGACGAGCGAACGAACGATAAAAAGAATAGAACTATACAACGAAATTGTTGCAAAGTCGTTTGAAATTTCCTAGATAGAAAATAGCATGCCTCGGGGCAGCGAACGAAACACGCCGGAGAAGAAGCACGCGTCTATGCTCGGCAACTGGTTGCTCTCGTTACACCTGGCATTAACCTTTGCACAGGTTCTCTGCGGTCGTCTCGGAACGTTTTACGCGTTCTTGTTGCCTCGCGGTCGCAAAAATAGAAACTGGACTCGATGGTCCCCATCGATTCCCGTTCTCCTTGAGGCCGTTAATTACGGGCGATTAACCTCGAAATTTGTCGCTTCGGGATCTATGCTTTCGTTGCATACTCCATCGAGCGAGCATCGATCTCTCGCGGTTCGCGGCTCGCGGCTCGCTGCCGGTACGATACACGATCGATTATATTTCAGCCTAAAAAGTCATTCGATCGAGTTTCTCTAGTTTTCAAAATTCCAAGCCCCGATCGAACCGAAATAAAACGGCCGAAGTAAATTACGAAATCGTGGAACGAAACCATTGGCTCGGCCGGTAAAGTAGAAAGCGCGCAGACAACAGGCGAGGTAAATGCGGCGCAACTCCCTTGGCAAGCATGCATACACATCGATACACCGCGAACCATAATTAGTTTAATCGCATTTACGGAGTCGCTATCCCGATCTATCGATGGAGGACAGGTCGTCGAACTTGTCTCCCTATCGTGCATTCCCGAGGAGAAAGGCGTTTCGAGGTTATACCGTGCCTGTCAAAATGACAAGAAAAGAATGACGAGCGAGTCCCCGTCCCCACCTGCGCCACCCACTCGGCGAGCTCGTTATCAAGGGACAAACGTAACGGACGAATTGTCGTGGAAAAATGTTGTTCGGTTCCACCAACCTGGTTTTGAATCGTTGAGTATCGTCCTGCCCAGCCCACATCTTTCCTCCGTGTAAAGATTTTTCTCTGTGACCTCCGAATTTGAATCACCGCGTCTCTATCTCTTTCTTCCTCCCTCTTTCTCTCTCTCTATTTATCTCTCACTCTCTCTCCCACTCTTTATCTATCTATCTGTCTATCTGACGCAACACTAAGCACGCGTGGTTTAAACGTCGCGGCGACGGCGACGGCGACGACGACGACGACGACGACGACGACGTTGGAATAGGCTCCCGTCGTGGGTCAGTCCAGGCTGGATCACGTCGCTCGATCGTCTGTCCTTCTCGGTCCGCAAGTCCTGCGTTGGATCGGGACGGCGACAGAATCGCAAAGTGAAAACCTTCTAATGCGCGCCGCACGAAGAGGAGAGGCGCCACCTCGAAAAACTCGAGAAACACGATAGAGGAACGCGTGCCGCGTTCCGTACAATCGCGAAATTCACTGACGGCTCGTATCGACTGCGTCTCTCGAACTCTCGACTGTCTCGACCAGTCCTCGAGTCGAGACTCTCGACTCTCGACTCTCGACTTGCGTTCTTGCGTTCTTGCGTAGGGAGAACGCACACAGACTTTGTGTAGGAAGAACTCGGGTCCTGGTGTGCACGGGGCCTTAGGCCGGTTTTGCTCGGATCTGAGACGACTGGAGACCATCGAGACTGCGCGAACGAGCGGTCAACCTCCCAACGGGGTACCTAACCACGGTCACGAAGATGATTCTCTTCGGCTATTTCGCCGTGCCAGCAACCGCTCTGGTTATATTTATCCTTTGTGCACGCGGATTTTCCACCTAGTGAAAATACCGTGCGTCTCTTTGCCTTTTAGGGTCTGAACGACACCGACACCCAGACGTGTGGGCGAACCTTGCAATTCATCTCCTTTCTACGGGAAATCGTTTTTTTTTAAATCCATCAGGTGGACGCGCCCGTCTACCTACTTGCAAGTTCCGAGGAGACGGTGACATTATTACAAATTACAATAGTTTAAAATCAGTCCACACTCTCTCTCTCTCTCTCTCTCTCTCTCTCTCTCTCTCTCTCTCTCTCTCCCCCCCTCTCCCTAATAACTGATACTGTTTATTTATAACAAAGAGTCGATAGAATCGAAAGAAGTTTATCTGTTTCTGGATAACGAAAATGAAAACGAAAATGAATTCAAACGATAGAAAACGCCGATTCGTCACCGTACGAACGACACCCAGTCGAGTGGCAATGCACGCGAACAAGGTTATTCAAAATGAATGTCTCCGTACGACCGTGTGGATTCCCAGAATTGTCTCCCCGGTTGCGGCGTCCGAACAACAAAAAAAAGCCGACAAGGGGTATGGAAAAATGGTTGAAATAAAGGGTGTGCGTAAGAGGAACGGAAGGAGGGAGAATAAAGAGTGGGTAGAACATTGTACGCCTGTGCAATTACGAAGCTTCGGTACCTAAATGTATACGCCTCTATGCGGCACGCTAGGAACTACGCGACGCCGGGTGACTCACAATACAATCGGCTTGGAACAAGCAGCATGAACGTGATTAGTGGTCTCGGAATTCGGAACTCGAAACTCAAAACTCTGTACTCAGAACTCAGAACTCGGAACTCAAAAGCGTACGCGTTATTCGCGCTCGCATACCGAAGAAATATAATATTTATAGCCAGCCAGAAAGACATCACCGACGAATGGATCTCTCATGCGACGAACGATTCTGTTCCGAAACAGTAGATTCGCGAAAAGAAATGAAAACAAAAAATGATCCATCCCACCAGGATGCGTACGGGAAANTCTCTCTCTCTCTCTCTCTCTCTCTCTCTCTCTCTCCCCCCCTCTCCCTAATAACTGATACTGTTTATTTATAACAAAGAGTCGATAGAATCGAAAGAAGTTTATCTGTTTCTGGATAACGAAAATGAAAACGAAAATGAATTCAAACGATAGAAAACGCCGATTCGTCACCGTACGAACGACACCCAGTCGAGTGGCAATGCACGCGAACAAGGTTATTCAAAATGAATGTCTCCGTACGACCGTGTGGATTCCCAGAATTGTCTCCCCGGTTGCGGCGTCCGAACAACAAAAAAAAGCCGACAAGGGGTATGGAAAAATGGTTGAAATAAAGGGTGTGCGTAAGAGGAACGGAAGGAGGGAGAATAAAGAGTGGGTAGAACATTGTACGCCTGTGCAATTACGAAGCTTCGGTACCTAAATGTATACGCCTCTATGCGGCACGCTAGGAACTACGCGACGCCGGGTGACTCACAATACAATCGGCTTGGAACAAGCAGCATGAACGTGATTAGTGGTCTCGGAATTCGGAACTCGAAACTCAAAACTCTGTACTCAGAACTCAGAACTCGGAACTCAAAAGCGTACGCGTTATTCGCGCTCGCATACCGAAGAAATATAATATTTATAGCCAGCCAGAAAGACATCACCGACGAATGGATCTCTCATGCGACGAACGATTCTGTTCCGAAACAGTAGATTCGCGAAAAGAAATGAAAACAAAAAATGATCCATCCCACCAGGATGCGTACGGGAAAAGGTTATCATCGTTACCGGATGTCCGGCAATTGGAATGTGTGCGAGAGCCATCTGTTAGCTGTTTACACGAAAGCAACAAACACATTGTTCATTTCGATAGATTACTAATCGAGCATGTTACGAAAACGTCGTTTTCCTTTTAACGAATGTAACCTGTGCACCTTTTTAATTGTTATTTTTAATTACCGTAAGAAAGTGAACCGGTCCGTTTATTAGAAACATGCACTGCAATGTTTAGCCGTTACGCGGTGAACCGCGAGTTTTTTCTACGAAAACGACAGACTGGTAACGCGACACTCGCAGAAGTAAACTCGCTCACCAAGACTTTACAAAGTAGAAAAGGGCTGTGTAAACGACCTGCCTTCTTAATTATGATGTTTACACGTTGCATATGTTGCATAAAGTTGAGACTACATTCCGTGGCTTAAGGTTACTCGCGAACCGCAGTGCAGAACACAGAATTTTTTTAGTCGCATATGTCAAGAAGTATCAAAAAAATTCAACGGATCGGTGTAATCGATGAGTTCATTTTCTACATCAACTTTATCGTCGCTATCGTGCTAATCAAAGTGGGTGGTAGCTCTTACAGAGACGTCTTATTCGAATGCATGTATTTGGAAAAGATTATTTTTTTAATGCAATTCTCGTTCCCAAAACAACAGTGATAATACAGGGAACGCAATCTGTTGCCGTTCCTTCGCACTTCTAGCTACAGAAGTACATACATTGAGATGCACTACCGACATTGCGGTCCTCAGATGCAATAATTACATCGCTTAACATGACAATTCTTTGTTATTTTACAAAAGAGAAACATTCAGGCTTATTTGAATGACGCGTGTCGCGGAAATTTCTGTATTAACGACAGCGATGTATTTAGGATCCGATTAAATATTAATCTTGTAATAATATCAAAGGACGAGAACACCTGTCACCGGAGGAGTCAATGCTTAATATTCATTTGCGGTTATCCTAATGACAATGTATTATAATGCATATTTCACACTAAATTCTGACGTATTCGAAAGAAGCTAATTAAGAAGCTAACTAATTAAACAAGTTCAAATGCAAATGAATAATTCTGAACATTGTTAGTATCACAACTTGCCAAAACATTTTACCACGGCGAAAAAAGGATCTTGGATTGTCCGGTTATGACCGGTTCAAACTGACGCACCGTGAATAACAAAAAAGTCGGTAACCAATAGGACGCCATTCGTTTCTTTCGGTTATTATTACCACGAATAGATGTTTAACGATTGTATAATAAACAAGAACAATTCTTTCGAACGTACTTTGCAAAAAGACAAAACGATTCGAATAATTCAGTTTGGTTACAATTACGAGATCGGCGGTGTTTACGTTAACAACGAATGCGACAATTATTTATGGTGAATAATACATACATACATATGTTTTTTACGTGTAAACGATAGTTTTTGTTGTTTCTCTTTCCCTTTAAAAGGTTGAGATAAATAAAGGACGCACCAGAACATTGGCACAAAGACCATCGCACACAGCCATACGATATTTCTGAAACGGATAAAGAATATAATACGAGTGTGTCACTTACTTGCTGGATTTTCTCTTGTCGTCGCCGAATCCTTGGAAGGTTCCTGTAGACGTCATCTTCTTCTACCGATTCAAACCAAGGGAACGAGTATTTTCTTAGTAACCGTCACACAGATTTTGCGGCACACGAGACCTAAACACAACTCTTTCTTCCACCGAACGAAATCAAATAGGGTTTTGAGACGGGATTGGTAGCAGTCCGTGTTACAAGTTCTGACGTCAGAGGGCTAGTCAAATCAACGTTTAAACCCTAAACTCTTTTTCACATCGAAACTGTCTTACAATTCTGTCTGCTTATTTACTGCACAATAAACATTGTAAATATTATTAGTTATTAGTTATTTGTTATACAAATTTACATGTTTATTAACAACGAACCAACAATTATTATTCAGCTTATTTCGTTACAATATTTTCTGCTTCGTTATTTGTTTTCGTTTCGTAAAACGTTGAACCATTCGCTATTGCATTTAGAATGATTATTTTCAAATGATTCAAAAATTACTGAGATAATTCAACAATATTTAATCTTACTCTATTGTATGTAGTACAGCTGTTGTATAAATGATTAATTACTAAAAAGGAACTTTATAGATGATGTGCAATGTCTGTGTGGGAATTTTGGCAGGGTAAGGAGTCTTTATTATTTACGCAGAATTTGTTATTGTGTTGCGGAAAAGAAATTTGAGAAACTCGAGCTAGGTGTTTGGCCGCCATCTTAGATTCTGATTGACAAATACAGATGGAGATGGAGCGTCTGAAAAGAGTCCACACAACAGTTTACCTACGTTTCCTACCGATTTAATTCATACAGATTGGTGCGGTTGTTAATTAATTAATCATATATTTCCGTATAAATGTTGGAAAAAACGAAAAGTTGGAAAAGTTATCACAGCGTTACCGAAGATTCGATTCACGAATGGACTGTTTTTATGTTTTTTAACTGTCGAGGGAGATCCGTAAACGAGTGAACATGTTAAACCAAGCTGTAGTCGAAGCTTTATATTCCGCGACATACATCGAGAATTATCTGGACTGCGTGGAAAATTTACCGAACGATCTTCAAAGACATGTTTCCCGACTTCGAGAACTCGACGCCACTTGTCAAAGTAATTCAGCTAACAAACTTTTTCAAACGTGCACCGCGGGCGCATATCTGTGTGCATCCGTGTGTGTACGTTTGTCATTTTATATTTGAAATATTTTCGTTTTTATGACTTGAAAATTTGTTCGCAATGAAGCCATACGTGACTTGCAAGCTTTAAAAGTCTGGCATATAGTAGAAATCTTGAAGAAATTAAATAACATCGAAAAAATCGTCATGTATTTATCATATGAATATCTGCATAGAATCAAATCATATTTTCCATTTTTACGCGTTCTATACGTTCTTAATATTAATTTATTTAACTGTTTTCCTACAATAGAATATTTTATGGAATAATCAGATATTACTCTTTCTTCCCTTTCATCGAATGCAGCATATTTACGAGAAGTGGATCAACAACAGGAGGCATTACGAAACGATACCGATATGCAAGTGAGGAGGAGAGCATTGCTAAGAGTGCAGCAAGCACTAATTGCCGCAAAAGAAATAGGAGATGAGAAGCTACAGATTGTACAGCAAGTCCAGGATCTTATAGAAAATAAATCTAGACAATTGGATCTGGATTATCGAAACCTTGGTATAATCATCGAATGCGGTAGATTTTGTCTATCGTGCATGTAAATGTACTTTAAATTATTTACAGATTTTGGAAAAGAACAAGAAAGTAGCGAATCGACGCGTGAAACAAATGCTAATGTTAATTCCAACTCTTCCGGCAATGCCAATAATTCGGAGAGGCAGACTAAGAGAGCCAGGAGGACAAGAACAGAGACATTAGTCGAATCCAATGCAATGGACATGATCGCGATGACCGAAACACGTTCCAATACATTGTCCAATACAAGTAATGGTAGTCAAAAGAAAACAAATACTACCAACACCGGAAAGAAAAAGAAAAGAAAGTCTAAACAGGGCAATCAGCAGAATCAACATCGGGAAGATACTCCCCCACCTCCGGAAGATGAGCTTGCGATAGACCCGGATGAACCAACGTATTGCCTTTGCGATCAAATATCGTATGGAGAGATGATATTGTGCGATAATGATCTATGTCCTATCGAGTGGTTCCATTTCTCGTGCGTCTCGTTGAGTACTAAGCCAAAAGGCAAATGGTTCTGTCCAAAATGTAGAGGCGATCGACCGAACGTTATGAAACCCAAAGCACAATTCTTGAAAGAATTGGAAAGGTATAACAAAGAGAAGGAGGAGAAATCGTAGCAGGAGAAAGCTGGTGAGCAATTTAAACTTTGGAAGACTTAATTGAAAAAACTAAAGAATCCTTTATTCGATACTTCATAATTTTTAATTTTTTAAATTTTTACGGTTCTATCGAATACATTATTTGACTCCTGGCAAACAAAGAAATGATAATAGTCACGTGATACGCTGGCTAAACTTGTTTGGTTTCTTAAGTGTTTGAATATACATATAAATATGCGTGTGAACTATCAAATAATTATCTAACAGTAGGAGATAAATTAGATTTGTATAGTATTGGCTATTGTAAATATTGTAACATGAATGTATCGAACGAGAATGAAACCGATATCCTCCGATTGCTGCTGCACATTTTTCGAAATTCATTGAATCATGTTGAAAATTTCAAAGAGTTACTTAGCTTGTACATGTTCCCCGAGCAAATTAGATTTTGCAGTCGACTACAAAATGTACATTCAGTTTTTCAAACGCAATAGCAGTATTAAATAACGCGAGTAATATTTCGTAGCGTAAATTTTCGTAAATAAAATAGTTTAATGTTAATGAGATTTTTTTCAAGATCCGTACAACTGTAATGCATACGATTTTATTACAGAATTATTACTACGTCGGTATATACGTTAAGTAACATTGGTAAAGTTCTATTGTATTATTTGTAAAATGTATAATTGTATAGAAAATATAGTTACAGATTCGCTATAGGTAATTATCATGTATTTAATATAAAACATACGTAATATCTATAAATGAAAACGATTGAATCTCTGTGCAACACTCGAATATCTAATTCCACTTTATGTACCTTCTCTCTTTTAATCGTCGAAAGATCTACTTTGTAAATAGATATGCTGTATTTTTAGAATACAATCCCCGATTAGTGCATAATGTACAATATGTTTGAACAGCTATTTTTTTTCATAATCGAGTATAAACTTGGACTGTATATAAACCAGAATTGTTTCCTAAAAACAATGTGAGTTTTGCACAGTTGTAAGAACATTTTTTTATGAGACATGTTTGTAAGAAATAAATTTAATGTTTTCATTAACGTTATTGCTTTCTAACACTACGTTCATTCTCGATTCTCTTTCATGTTCCCTTACTCTATGTGTTCCACAAATTAGGAAATGACAAATATTCAGTAATTATTCCTCTGACAAAGTTTATTATCATTATTTACCGTACTATATTATTTATACACTGACATTTTTACTTTCTGTGCACAAAAAAAAAAGAAAAACGAACTATGTACTTTACAATAGATTACCATTTAGAACATATAAGTAAAAACTATTAATATTTCAGTGTTTGATCTGTTTTAAACTTATCATTTAAAGGCCTTTGTATAATTAAATGTAGCTGTTATAACATAACTTAATGTTATGACGCGTTACGTATACGCAGGTTTTTTTCATTTTTTCTTTTTCAATCTCGCTTCATAAGGATTCCTAAAGTCTAATTATAATGAGCAAAACCATACATCGTTTTATTTATACTTATAGGTAAAGATCACATAAGTTCACAGTGCGATTCCACATCACTCCAATGCTCTACATTCTTATGTATCTGAAACATAGTCAAAAATTAAGTAAATGCTTCCATCTTTTTGTAATAAAAAAAATCCAAAGAGCTTTTGTATTTAAAAAAAATAAAGGGAAGATATCTGTAGAACAATGGAGTATATCAATGTATAGATTTAGCAATGCAGGAAAAGGTGTTTCGAACCACAGACTCGTGGAAATAATATAAAAAAGTGTATCAAATACATTTTTCATGAAATCCAAAATGAACCATACTTAATGTCAGCGGGGATCTTCTGTGTGACTTTCTTGGAAATTCAACCAAGACTGTTCAACAACAGTTGCTACTCTCTTCTCATATTCCCGTTTATTTTCTTGATATAATTGTGCTGCCAAAGAATTGGCTGGTGAATTTGGATTTGGTTCATCCAAAAGAGACTGCAACAAATATTTTATAGAACTTGAATAGTTACAACGTATAAATGATACCCTATTATATAACAATTGATTTAATTGAAACGACGAAACAGCAATACAAGGTTAAAGAAAACTATTAGACTATAAAGTAGAATTATGCATTTATTAAGTGTGTGTGTGTGTGTATGTGTACACGTGTATACGCATACATATACATGTAGACACAGGCACACATATGCATACGTATGTATATATATATATATTTACACATACATACATACACATATACACACACTAAAATTTAATGGAAAATACAAATTCTGTGCTCATGTGAAAGACCATGCTTTATATAGCACAGGAGAAAAAGCGTCAAGTATTATCATCTAATGTTTAATAGTACTAATTTCGTGTTATCAAATATCGAAATAAATAAATACACAATTTTATAATAATTTATTATTCAACATTGTAAAAATTCGGTCTAATGTTGCACATCGTGGTAGTTCAATAGAGCTTTAGGAAGAAACATGCTAAATATTTTAGCGTTAGCTCCTTGATAAGGCTGCACGTTCTCCACTGTATCTGATGGCTGTAGGTGGCTGATCGATGCTGCAACAGCATCGTGAAAACGCCTGCGACTAATCCATAAAACTCTGCTCCACGCAAGCCTTCACTCGCTTCTCGTACTCGCGTCGGTTCTCTTTGTACAGTTGCGCTGCCATTGAGTTGGCAGGTGAATTCGGGTTCGGGTCACTTAACAGCGACTGCAACCACATAAGTCGTACTCATTATACAACATTCTCAATATTCTTTAATCTTTTTTTTTATTATCTTTCTTCGTTTTGTTCTTATAATGATGCATGGCCATAATTTGGAAGTAGATGACATTCTTTTTAGTCGGTATCGGTGATTAGAAATACAGTTATGGTCAGTTAAACAGATTGCAAGTACAATTTTTACCGTCAATATTCTATATATATATATATATATATATATATATATATATATACATATATACATGTATACGTATATGCGAAGAATTTTTGGATTCAATGAATCAGACTTTGCTGAATTGCAACCGCTGTTAAGACGAAAATGTACGAATCTCTATGATTTTTATGAGAAATGCGACAAAAGTAGATACATAATTGTACATTTTTACAAATACATGATTAACATTTATCTCGCATGAAATGAAAAGATAATTAAGCACACACTATTTTAATAACATACACAGTTCATATTTTTCTTTCTTTACATTTAGTAACTGCCATGCAAATCATATCTGCAGCTTCTTAACAGAAACTTAACACAAAGTATTGTGAAACTAAATAGTAAAACAACATAAAGAAAAGAGAAAGAACTTTAATTATGTATTACGAGCGACTCTTTTATCGTTGTATACTTACTACATCAAGCTGAATAATTATTGGCTTGTATCAAACTTAATGTACAAACGCATGCAATGACAAGAGATCAATGATTCGGGAATACAAAGTCTACAAAGTACCTGGATCCGATGGTGTTCGAACTATTAAATAAAATAATATATTTTGCATTTACAATACCTGTATGGATGTTAATATAGCTGAAACATCGTAGGTAGGGCTCCAACGGTTCTGTAATATGTCAAGACAAATGCCTCCATCGGCATATACGTTTGGATGGAACATCTTACTAACAAATCTGACCGTAGGTGGTTTATTTGGATATTCTTCTGTAAATTCTATTATAAGTTTGAAGGTACCATCTTCGAATGGAGTGTCGTGTGGTCTGAAAGGAAAATAATTAAATTAAAGATCTAGAAAAGTAGATAAATTTCACCTGCTCGCGTTTATATCGGTTCCTCGAAGCTCACCCAAATATAACTGCATTCCATATCATAATATTATTGTCTGTCGGTGCTCCTGATACTCCGGTGGGTGGGTCTTCTTGTAATCTAGTCGAACCAATACATCGTTATAAATATGTAATCATTTATAAAAAGAAAACATGTAATTAATATTTTTTATCATGGAAATTGATGGGACAGCAATTCTATGAAACTATAAAAATGTTTTGTGCAAAGTATAAATGTATAAACCTAATGGTTTTCAGTGTCATGTTAATGCCTCTATAGAAAACATTTCTTATTAATCACTCCTGGTAATATGCATAATCTAATGATTTTATTTGGTATTATTTTTCAAGAGAAAATACTTCATTTATATAGCATGGTCAATGAAAATGCTATTAATAGACTTGCATCAAGTAAAATGTTAAGAGGACGGTAGACGAACAACAACTACAGCTTACAGTCGAATCGACTGAAACAAAACTTTACAAAACAATGGCAAAGTAAGCCGCTTTGATCGAAACGTGTGTTTATTTACGTTAGAAAAAAGGTTACTACGGGTCAGTCCGATATTAATCGGAATCAATTATAGAGAAAATCAAAATATAAACAAAACCATAGTTGCTCCAGAAAGGGAGGGAGGGCGAGAGAGAGAGAGAGAGAGAGAGAGAGAGAGAGAGAATGGGGGAGGGAGAGAGCAACGTGCATCCATCAAAATCTAAACATCGGTGAAATCGTGGGCAATGTGTTTTCTCGATCAACTATCAAAATCGTTCTAAACGGAGATATACAAATGAAACGCAGTAAACGATCGCGGGTTCCTAATAATAACTTCTTGCGAGACACGGTATGACGTTGATCGAGTTGTGTGTAACCCTTCTAACTCGGTTTCTGTTTCCCGTTGGGCAAACAGAATCGTGCACGGAAAAAAGGTTACGGGATAGGAAAGCAATGGGACAGAAAATTCGATTCGCAATGGCGGTACATGACATCGCGAAAGCGATGACACAGAAATGTTAACATAGCCACGGTACCTCTTAAAATCTCTCATTAGTCTCCTTCTTGCAGGGGTAGACATCCCTCACGAATGGGCTCGTCGCTCTGAAATCGTTCGATTCGGACGAATTCCAGAACGTTTTCGATGACCGTGGGACAGCTTACGCGTTAATTCCTATAGTTGAATAAATATGTAATCACTGGCCCGCGCGGCGGTTGCTCCGACGACCTCGTCGCATACACGAGAACGCCAGTTGTTTCTGTTGCGTACGTCTTTGCCTTTTGTCAGTCCGAAGGCCACCCTATCCGTGCGATACCGTTACAAGCTTGTTCAAAATTAGTTCCACCGAACAGGTTCTCCCGATTGGCACTCGACCGCGTATCGATAGTTCGACACCGATGATTTTCACTCGCCTCTTGCTCGCAAGAAAAAACCCACTGGCATGAGAAAAACCTACGTAACGATCACCCTGAGAAATTCGTTCACCGGACTGCCAAACCACGGACAGCTGGATAGATATACGGAGGGGATAAGGAACGAACTGTTTTGCGCATGACGTCACTAACTAAAATCGGACAATGGTTGGTTGTCGTCCCGTGTTTGTTCTTCCGATTTCGAACGATCGTCAGGAACTTGAGCCGGGTGTGACCAACGAATAGAATAATCGGTATCGGGAGACGAAATTCCACATGTGTACGTACAACCGTAGTCTGTGTCCGTAGATCAGTGATGGCGATGTCTGGGGTGATGCTGATGTCCACGATAGGGGCTCCTCACCACTCCTCACACACCGACTTCCCCTTCCAAACACTCTTTACCCGAAGTGGACAAAAATACGATAGCAAGTTTTTCTCCATAGCGGTAGCATAGTCCGTGGTGAAAATAGCGCGCGCGAAATTACGAAAACGAATGAAACGCACATTTAACATTTAAAGAATGGAAATAACAGAAAACGAAGAAATAAGAAAGGAAATGATAGAAGGAAGGAAATTATATTAATTCAAGATATACTACGATTTGAATTACGCGCGCAATTCTCGATGACTGTTGCACTCGTTGCGGACGGTGGTGGTCATCGTTCGTTATCAATCGTTATGGTCATGGGGACGGGAACGGGGACACCGTTTGATTCCTTTCACGACTCACACGAGCCATTGTCCAACTCTCTGTCGTTTAAAAAATATATGTATTCGTCGCGATTCGGGACCAATCCAGAAACATTCTATCTCCGCAGCGCAATTTCCATTGCAACAAATCACCAGTTTCCAATTCCTCCTCTACGGAAATTTAAGTTAGGTTACACGTGATATAAATCACTCTTTTGATATATGTAGAAGAAACACTTGTATATTATTCTGATATTTTGTTGTTGTTTTTATGAATTTATCGCGATGACACGAACGCGAAGCGGTCTCGGTGTTTAATTTACATTTCTAGGGATTTTCGTAGTTACTGCTGGTGCTGGATGTTTCTCGAACGCGAAATATGTATGAATGATGCATGTATGCATGTAAGTACAGACTCTAGAAATTACGAGAATTATAAACGCTCGCGCGTAAGCGCGCGCACGCGTTACATTGTACGTAATTATAAAATTGAATTCTAATTGGATATCGTATTCTCTGATTCATAGGATTCAGGATGCTCGTAGAACCGTATAGTTTGCAAGTAGAGCGCGAGAAAAGGCGCACAATTTCTTGTTTCTCTTTACGTAATGTTTGCTTATACGTAAAGTATTGAAAAATCGATAATGGGGCAGGATACTGTGTTAAAAGCGCACGCGTGAACCGATACCGATGCATGTCAGCTGTCCACCACTGAATGCTGAACAAAACGTTGTGACGAGGAATTAAAGTATTCCTTATTTTATCGTGTCTTCCAATGAAGCAGTAGAATTTCATGCGGTTTTAATGGCTTGTGATAACCGGACGAAAGTGTACCTGGGATACGAAGATGAATACGTTACCGATAAACACCGGGCGAGCATTAATTTTATGACAAACAAGATCGGCGGGTTTCCAGTAAGTTGTTGTTCGGTCAAAGTAATTTCTTGCGAACGATTTTTATATTTTTCTATCGCGGCATCGAACGAACGATTAATTACTGGATTGAATAGATCGCTGCTGTTTGTAGGACTGTTACGAGAAGAATACGCTATCGTTGCCACAATGCAGACTGTGTGGACTGCATCAACTCCTGGTATTGCAACTCTACGTTCCATTAGATAACTCGAAATATCACAGAATACTTTATATTTTCGCCTGTATAAATCCGAATTGTTGGAATCAAAACGAAAGTTGGACTTGTCTGAGGGTTCAAGTTTTAGCAGATGAATTTCAGACGAATACAATAGATACTAGTAGCGTGACCGTGCCATCCACAATGTCATGGTTGTCGGACGCGGATAATTGGGGTGATAATTTTAATGACAATTCTACCGAACAGAATGGAAATAATTTATTGTCGAACAAAGCAACAGAGTTTAATTTTTCTTTGCAAAGAGAAGTAGAGCAGAACATGAGAGAAGAACTTTCCGCTTTGCATGTAGACGATCCTAATGCGAACAGGTATATTCGTAGGTGGTTATTTGTCACAGTTATTTGTCAATGTAATTATAAATAGATTGGAATTACATTGACCGGTTATTTAAATATAACTGATTCTAGTCCAGCAAGCGTGGAGTCTCCAGTTGGAATAGGAGCCGTGGGTAGATTGGATTCACCTCAAGCATCTGCCGAGATCGACGGCGAAGAAAGCGAAGTCGTTTGCATAGATACCCCAACTCAGCCTCAACGCGACTTGGTCGGTTTGCTGCACGAAGTAACTCCGTTTCCTATACAGCTAGAATCAAACACCGAAACAAAGTTCTCGTTTGTTGAAATATTCCTTTCGGTGGAAGAAGAAGATTATAGCGCGGACGTACCCCAACATGTTCGTGATTTATTATTGAAGTATCAATACAGAAATCCAGATCTATCAACAAAATCTGCAGCGGATTCAATAGAAGGAAAAACAAATGAGACTGACCTAGAAAAGTACGAAAAGGGTATTCCTATGCACGGGGATGAAATGTTCCATAATTTTGTCTCTCGGATACAAAAAAGTCCTGGGCAGCTCCTACGGTAAAAGATTTGTTTCAAATTAATTTTACGCTATTTTATATCAGCCGTGTTACGATGTCTAATCATTTTACTGTATTATCCGCCAGATATTCACGAGATAATTCCGCTCCATTGCTACTGTATCCTATCAGCGGATGCGTAGGGAAATGCCGCCATTGCGGTGGTGAAATGATCTTCGAAGTCCAGATTTTATCGACATTAATTTCTAAATTGATATTACAACCGTGTACAGAAAAAAACTTTCAAATCGAATTTGGAACTGTTTTAATGTATACTTGTCTCAGAAGTTGTTGGTCTGCGACGGATTTATACAGGGAAGAGCATGTTATTGTTCAAGCAGAAAGACTATAGCGATAGAACGACAAAATAAATTGATTAGAAGTTGTAAAGTTTTCATTTTTGAAGAATTTTCAAGTTACATTCCTTTGGTAGCAAAATACCGTCCATCTGTTCGCGACTACTTAAAAATTCCTAGTAATGAATGGTGCATAAGAACAAGATTCTACTTTCTGGTATGAAATTTACTGGAAACATAGCGCTAAAAAATTGAGGTAGAACAGTCACAAGAAGAATTGTTTTATTTTCCAATTCATCGTAGCGTGTAAGGATAATTGTACATTACCATTCATACATAAATACAGAAGTCTTAATGGAGAAATATATTTACTCTTATTTTATACTATATCTATATCTATATATAATCTATAGGTACTTTCCGATACAAACACATTTACATGCATTCTTTGATCATGATTATTTATAATATATACCATCATTGTTTAGTATGTCCTAGATAGAGGATGTTCCATGGGATATCTTCGTTTAGTATATAGTAAATCGGCCATACTTTTGTAATACACATCACCGTTTAATACTTCCTGGTCTTGGATTTCTTCCGCGATTTTATCTATTTTGTTCATCATGATATTTGCTATACACCCTGCCATATCTTTCTCGACAGTTGAATTTTCGAGGCCGATTTTGTACGACCTCGACGAACGTATTAAATTGGCGAACGTTGCATACAGTTCCGTACCCATAACGCTTATCCGATGAAGTTCGATATGTTTCTCCGTAAGTTGTGTTCCATACATAAGCAACAGATTTTCTATATTCGACTGCGCTGTCTCTATAGAGTCTTGTAGATATTTAACACTGTATTCCAACGATGGGTGAAAATATTGGCCTATCTGTTGTCTCCTGTTAAACAAAGTTATATACTTTTTCATGTTTACATAGATGGGATTATATGCCGCGTTTCTGCCTTTGGTTATATCGACGCTCATAATTATTCCTGAATGTTGTAAAATAGACGATCCTATGTAAATATCTGCATCCACATGATTTAGATCGAGCGTGGTTAAAGCCAAGGCATTATGGTACGCATCTATGTAAGCATTGTTCTTCATGTAAGCCTGTGCACCTAATAGTCGTAAAGCCGATTGCACAGAATCCAAACATTTATTAGCACAATAACTTTCTGTCACAACTTCTTCGAGTTCAACATTTTGATCCTCGTAATAATCTGCCAATCGACTGGTTTGGTAGGCCATGCTCTCCATAGTGTATAACGAGAAGACTGCTTCACCCAAGATCTTTTGTACAGAATGAAACGTATAAAAATCCCTGTCTAATTGTTTCATTTCCAAAACATCCGATGCTAAACGATTGATCAAATTTCTTAAAATGGCAATCGATTGACCAGCTATATTCTGCTTTCCAGGCTTCAGCAGATCCATCATAATATCGAATGCCTTTGTTGACATTGGTTCGCCTATAATATTTGTTTTCGGTACCAAAGTGTTTTCAAACTTGACAGAACACACAGGTATGTCATGGTATCCAATCATTTCATAAGCTTCGTTACAACTTATCCCTCCATAATCGCGTTCGACCAAATAGAGAGATATATCGTTTGGATTTATAGTATGTTTTCTTTGATTTAACACAAAAACTAGAAATAAATTAGCCTCGATTCCATTGAAAACAAATACTTTTTCTCCATTTAATACTACCGAATTTGCATCGTGTTGTCTACAAATGGTCTGTATATGGTTAATATTAGTTCCATTGTCATTTTCTTTTAAACATATCGTGGGAGTAATTTCACCACTCATAATCTTTGGTAGATACTTTTGCTTTTGACTTTCAGATCCATATTTTGAAATTAATTTAACAGGTAACATTAGATTCTTTACTAAATACGTACCCAACCAGGGTAACAAGCCTACCGTTTCCATAAGTTTCAATGACTCTGTATTTAATAAATTTAAACCGTGATAGTCTTCGCTAACGTATGATCGAAATACACCGAGATCTCTGAGAGACGATAATATTTCGCTCTTTTCGAGCTTCTTGTCGGAATTGTTACAGCTGAGAATATAATTGTCGATCGGCCTTAACCAATCCTTGAAATATTTGAATCTTTCGATAGTCTGCGGTTCCAGCATATCTATAATTTCTGTATTTACTTTTCCCATTAGAAGATTCATTAACACAGGATCTGTTGCTGGTTGCTTTTCTCTTTGTTGTGGAAAATAGTAGAAATTCATAAACTGCGGTGTTTCCGATTGCGCAGCAGTTTCTACATTTCTTGTTACAACACCGCATAACTTTGTACCGAAAAATTTCTTAATTTTGAACGACTGCCGAGTGAACATTTTTAATTACGTGGATATATTGCGTGTAAAACGTTTGGAAAAATCACATCGCTCCCATCGATCGATGAAGTAGAGTGACAACTGTACTTGCATACTCGAAGGCGGAAATTTACGTCGAATGGCCATCTAGTGGGGGAATAAATTTTATGCGATAGTAAGTGACGCAAGTCTTGTAATGATAAATGATTAGAGTTATATAGAGTAGAATTTAACATAAAATATTAGTAAATTTCTACGGAAAAATATGAAGAGAGACACGCATGTAATGTAATGTAACCGTTCACTGGGGATTTTAAGGGGCTAGATTCCCTAGCGAGCAGATAAGGGTAGAAGAAGATGGACAATTACCGAGAAAACTAGACGAAAACGTGGGTTTACGGGATGACACTTGACATAACCACGAATCGGTACCGTTTCCGCGATGATGTTTATTGGTATTATTCGAAAGCGAATGTCGAATCATTGACAAAAATCATCCAATGGCAAGATAAAGAAAAAAAAAAAAGAAAAAAAACATTCAAAGCATAAATATAAAGAAAATTTTAGTGAAAATTTCTTTGCAATATGTATCTCGATTGCGGTTGAAAGTCGAGCGTACATGGAACATTTCCTTTGATTTAGTTTAAATTGATGAGGTTTTCTAGGCAGATTGCTTTTAATTAAAAATTTGTTTAAAGAAATTGTAAGAGGATATAATTGATGTATTTGATATGATACACACACGTTTGATTATTATATAGTTTAATAGCTAATTAGTATTATCATTAATAC